CTATTGTGTCCCGTGTGTCGGGTTTCACCCTGGCTGCGATGACAGCCGTTAATCGCTGTAGTTTGTCGCTGCCCGTGTGTCGAGCCCTTTAGACCCAGTTATATGTTGCTCTCCCAGTCTAAGACCCAGTTCTATGTTGGACTCCTGGTCTAAGACCCAGTTCTATGGCCCTTATCTCAACAACCTCATTCTGCAGAGGTCTTTATGTTTCAGAGCCAGTGTCAGACATGTGGACAGAAACAAAGGTTACCATGCAAGATGAGGGGCAAACCGGTCGGACAGCAGGTTTGAGACGTCGACGAAAAAATTCACCCAGRTTTTTATAATGATGTAAATCCTCTACTGCTGCCTCCTGGTGGACAAACATGAGAAAACAAAACTAGTAAAAAAAAACAAACAAATAATAAGCAGAACAGGTAGAATTTAGCTGATTCTGGGTCCAGACCTGCATGTTGACCCCAAATGTCCAAATATAGAGAGAATAGATGGGTTTACGAAGCCATTTAGGGAGGTTCAACCCGTTCAGACGTCCCCAGGTGCGAGAGAGGAGTCGAGTTGGGAAGGAGTGGTACAGCGCAACCTTCAGGAGAAAAAACAAACTAGAGCTTTACAATCATCTGGTTTCAGGAAAAAATATAAACTGAAAAGAATAAAATTAGTTTGGTTTTCAGCATCAGAGAGCAATAGGTCAAAGGTCACAGTTTGGTATTGTTTGTGGTCCTACAGGTCAGAGTTTGGTCCTGTTTGTGGTCCTACAGGTCAGAGTCTGGTCCTGTTTGTGGTCCTACAGGTCAGAGTCTGGTCCTGTTTGTGGTCCTAAAGGTCAGAGTCTGGTCTTGTTTGGTCAGCATCTGGTTCTGGTCCTAGTTCTGGTTTTAGATGGCAGAAAACTGATTGACAGGATTTTAAACAAGCCTTCCACTCACTTTCCCAACGTCCAATCAGTATGAGTTGTTGCTGCAGCTGATCTTACCCGGTTGGCTAGTGGCCGCAGGGTGTTGACAGACAGAATGAAGCCAAGGAAGGCGATTGGCCGGCGGTGCCAGGGTATGTGGTGATAGACACCATTACTGAGCGTGCTCAAACGATGACGAAGAGCCAACCGAGGTACCCGAAGCCTAATCATGACATTTAACCAGAATGTGAAGATGTGGTGTCACCAAATAAAAAAACAAACACTTAAAATACAACAAAATGACAACTAAACTACAAGACATCACAGGTGTACAGGTGCAGGGTGGGCAGGGCTTTTGAGAGAGGTGGAGGAGAAATTACTACAGCAGCAGAATGGCTTCCAGCTCAGTGATTTTCAAAGTGAGGGCCACTCGCCAGGGGGCACTAGGAGGGCCTCAGACAGCTGGGGGGGTTAGGAGGGAGCAGCACACGACACTGATAGGACAACCTCCTGTCTCTGATTKGCTGTTTCTGACCAGGAGTATTAGAGTATTGTGTTTCTGCACTGGGTGGAGCCAGAGGAGCCAGAACCTGAGGCATGGGTAAAAACGGTTTGGGAAGCCATGTTCTAGTTGCTAACATTTCACTAGCATCAGAAGAAACAAGAAGGCAACTGAATCATCATCCATCATGAAGTTGAAACTATTTAGGAAAAACAGGCACAAAATTCTGACCAATGAGAGAGCGGCGCCGGATGTGTTGCTGTCAGCTGCTAGCTAGCTGGGTTAAGGCTCCTGCATACTCGCTCCGAACCGCCTAAATGGGTTGGGATTGTTGCAGTTTCATGAGAAAAATTGTGCAGTCCTGTTTGCATTGTCGACATTTCAGCAGCTTCTTGATACAACCGGCTGGCAGAACATACCCC